GCTGGGGTGCTGCGGTGCGGCCCTCCCTCGTCCCTCCGCCCTGAGGCTCCTGCGATGCTCGCTCGGCCCCGCCACCCCTGGTGCCTAGAAAATCCAAGGGCCGCTTGTCTCGGAGGAGAGTCCAGCGGCCTGAGCGTCCCGCAGCCCCATCCTGGACAGCCAGTCCTGGTGTCTCGCCCCACCCCGCCCGCGGGCTGTCGCCCCTTGGCACACAGCTCCTCCCCAAGCCCAGGGAAGAGGACTCCCCCACCAACGCAGAAGGACGGGGTGCGCCGTGGGGCGCCTGGCCCCCGCCCCAAACCCCGCAAGTCAGGCGGGTCGGAGGGTACATCACTGCTCCCCTCCCCAGGGGCAGGGTCTTATGGGATCCTGGAAGCACCTGATGGAGAAGTGACACCCTTCCCAAACAGGGCTGTGTGTGGCCAGCCACGAGGAGAGGGCCCTTCTCAGCCTCTGCACGGGCCTGCTGCCACCCGGCCCCACCCCAGCTTAGCAAGGGTGGATGACCAGGCCAAGGTCCACGGTCCATCCACGTGTCTCCCTAAACCAGCCGGCACCCAAAACCCCCAGCCTGCGAGGACCCCTACCCAGGCCAACACCTCTTGGATGGCCTGGGTGACCTGGGTAGAGGTGGGGTGGGAGGTGTGTCCCCTGGGACTGGCCTGAACCTAGAAGACCGGGGTGATGGAGCCGGGAGTAGGGCAAGACTGAGGATAGATGGCCTCACCAGACCTTCTCCTGGGCCCCACAGCCCCTCCCACACCCTGGGCAGCCCTCGCCCTTGCCTGGGGCCTGAAGCCCCCTCCAGTGAGTCTGGCCAGTGCGGGCACTTTGCAAAAGGAGGGCAGTAGGGAGGCGGGTGCAGAGCAGGCTCCAGGAGACAGGGGACACACACGGCCTGGGAGGACAGGAAGGGATCATGAGGTGTCCTGGGGCAGGAAGGACTAGCTAGGACCCGTCCTCAGTCTCCCAAGGGTCCCCCTGGCTGACTCCCAGCCTCGCCGACCTTAGGGACAGAGGAGAGCCAGGACCCACATGGGCCAGCCAATTCAAAGTAGGCTCCCACTGACCTGGAGTGCACAACCTGGGAGCCCAGGGGCCAGGTAGGAATGAGCAGCTGGCCTGAGCTGCGGCCTGTGCTGCCCCCTGGTGGCACCTGGGGCAGGAGGGTTGGGGGCCCACCTGGGGGGCACTCTTGGCCTGAAAGTTGCTGGCTCTACCAGAAGTGCAGCGCTCAGGTGCTCTCGGGGCTCCCCAACTCCACGGGGCACTGAAGAGGGGTTTCCTGTTTGCTGAGCTTCGCCAGTGCACTTGGCCTCAGACACTCAGTGGAGCCCACAGAGCCCAGGGCAGCAGCTGGAGGGGGAGGCAGGGAAGAGTACCTGGGGGGCTCCAGGAGTGGGGCTGGTGTGGCAGTAGGCTGCCCTGGCCCCTGGGATGGAGAGCAGAGCCTCTGTGCAGGGGATGGGTGGTGCAGAGGCCACCAGACTTGGCAGGGGTGCACAGCTGGGGGGGGGCACCAGGAATCCAGATGGAAACTGCCATCTGACAGAGGTGGGGAGGGTAAAAAAACAAGCCAAGGCCACGGCATTGCAACAGAAAGGGTCACTTTTTGAGGCCTGCCTCGCAGGCCCTGCACATACAGGAGAGCACCGTGTCGAGTCCGGGGAGTCACCCTCCCCAAAAGCACCAGGGCCAAGGGGGGTGGCTGCCCGCCCTGAGGGACCCTTGGGAACAGTGCACAGTGCTGGATGCTGGGTGTGGCCCCAGCTGGAGGCACCAGTTGTTGAGTGTTTTGGTCTTAGGGTACCTGCAGGGAACACCCCCACCCCATCTTTGTGCTTTGGTCACAGGGAGCACCTCCCACCTGGTGGCCCCAGCAGCTGCAGAGAAGCAGGGCCGAGGCGCCCAGAGTCAAGCGGTAGGCAGGTGTGGACAGTGCTGGACAAGAGGTCTGTGGGTGGGCTGTGGTGCCACCAAGAGGGGCAGCCCTGGCTCTGGGCGTGGCGGTGGGAATGTGACAACCACTGACCCAGATGCGCCCGAGTCTCAAACCAGAAGCCCCATCTCCCTGGCCGCCACAAGCCGCAAGGGCAAGAGTGCTCCTGCTCAGGGGTCTGGACCCGGTGTCAGGATGCAGGGGACGTCGCTGATCCAGCCCCAGTGTTCTGGGCAGGGGGTGCCCGGCAGTGTTGAGGCTGAGTGCAGAGGCCGTGGTGGCTGCGGGAGGAGAGAGGAGTGATGCGGGGGGGACGAGCAGGCCCAGCGGGGTCACAGACTGCCTTGCTGCCCAAACACAACCGCTGTGCCACCACCTCCTCTGAGCACACCCACCCAGGGGGCTCCAAGTGGCCATTGCGGGGCAGGCTGAACTCGGCCACGCAGTGGCCAACCTTCCCTGGCTGCAACCAGGCCCACAGAGCCGCCTGGGTCAGGAGACAGAAGTAGTCGGGTTTTCTCCATAAAACCACAAAGGCACTGAGCTGCCAGAGGGCGGGGTGGGGGCCCACCTGGTGTCACAGCAGGAGGAGGCTGGGGCTGCGGAGCTGTCGGTACACTTGCAGGAGACGCTGGGCAGTGGCACAGGAGCTGGCCTCGTCCTCCGTGCACAGCCGGTCACGCAGGGTCTGCACCTCCCGCAGCAACGTCTACAGGTCGGGGGGCGGCAGCGGCTAGGCCCCCACCTTCTCACTGGGCATGTCAGCAGGTCCCTCTGGGGGACACCGCCAGGCACAGGTCCCACTCGGGACATGGTAGCTGACCCAGGAAAGACACTTGCCTGTGGCCTTAATGTGGGGGACATACCTCCTGCCCCCAGGAGTGTCCTTGCCAAGGCGGGGCAGGTTGGAGGGGTGGGGCCATGCCTGCTGTCCCTGTCCCCGCCCCCACTCCCTCCCTGGCAAGAAGAGCCTAGACCAACTCTTGGCTGTCAGGACTGGGAGGCTCCACCAGGCTGGGCGGCACCCAAGTGCCTGTGTGTGTCCCCCAAGGGCCGGGGACAGTCCTCGCTCCCCAGGCTGGTGGAAGGTGCAGGGAATGGCAGCCCTGAAGGGCCTCACCTCATGGTTGGCGTGGATCTGATGGAGATACTGCAGGCGGAGGTCAGGTGGGCTGGAGCCCCGGGCGGCCTGCTCCACAACCATCCTCTGGGGGAAGCAAGGGGCAGGCAGCTGGAGACAGTGCTCCTGTGGGCTCCGGGCACCTGTCTCCCAGCCCTCAGGGCCAGGTGGCGCATCCCAGTCCCCAAGCCGTCCATCTTGGCCTCCCCACCTCGCCCCCAGTTCACCTCTGCAGCATCTCCACCCCGGGCAGCAGGGCACACAGGCCCCAGCCTCACGGCTGTCTACTTAGAAGTAACTTTCATGCAGGCCCTTTCCCCTCCACTGCCCGCCTCCCCACTGTCCTTGGCCTCAGGCCCCAGCACCGCGCTGCTGCTCGAGTGGTTCCGCATGGCCCACAACAGGGCTGCTCAGTGTCCTGCTTTGGGAGACAGCCTGGTGGGCCCTGGGGCTCAGATCCAAGCTCCCAGACTTGTCCAGGCAGCAAGGCTACCACTGGCCTCTGGGGCAAAGCACTGAGAAGAGATCCCGACACTGAGGGGCAGCAGGAGGTGCTGGCCACTGGCAGCAGCCACACATCTGACCCCGAGCGGCCAGGTGAATGGATGGCACGAGGACACTCCCGTCCCACGAGCACAGTGTCGGCAGCACCCTGTCACGGGCTGAATCATGCCCCCCACATTCTCATGTGGAAGTCCCAGCCCCCAGCACCTCAGAGGCAACTATTCGGAGAGGGCCTTCACAGACGACCAAGGTAAAATGAGGTCACGTGCGTGGGCCCTAATCCCACAGCACTGGTGTCCTTCTGAGAAGAGATCAGGGCACAGACACGCGGACGACGACCCGGTGAGGACACGGGGGCAGGCCCGCACGCGCTCCGGGAGAGGCCTCCGGAGGACTCGCCCTGCTGGCACCCGGGTCCCATCTGTTCCCTTTGTCCCAGCAGCCCCAGGACACTAACTCCTCCTCTTGCTGGGAGTCTGGTCAACACGCTCTTCCCCTGGGCTTCTCACTCACTGTCTACCTTTTGGCCGCCACGCTTGGCGGGTCTGGAGACGGCCCTGTGTGCTTCAGCACGGCAAGAGCGACAGTGGGGTGCTCTCCCGGGGTGGGGGGAGGTGCGGGGAGGGGTGGGAGCTCTGCTCTGGGGACAGAGCCCGGGCATGAAGCCACAGATGTGCCACGGCACTGAGCTTAGGGTCCTCTGGTCATGGCTCGGCTCCCAGGCTGGCCTGGGTGCACTGGTGAGTCTAGAACTCGGATTGCAGGTTCCCTGACTCTCGGGGTCTGGGGTGGGGACTGGGGATGTGCACCGAGAAGTTGCCAGTGAAGCTCACGCAGAGTCCATGCTCGGGGAAACTGGAAACTGGCTGACAGCTGCCACTGCAGACTTGCTGCACAGCGAAGGCCGCACACTCAGAACAGGTGGGAGGCGCTGGGCCGCTGACCCTGGGCCCCGTCTGCCAAGGGCACCAGCTGACAGACTTCCACCTGGAGCACGAAGCCCTTCCTGCAGGTCCCAGAGTTGTGGCCCCAGTGCCCCGTGTGGCACTGCAGGAGCAGCAGCGAGGTCCCCGGGGCCGTGCGTGTGCACGTGTGCATGTACGGGTGCGCGCCTGTGTGTGTGTGAAGGGCTGGCTGCCAGCTCCCACTATCTTGACAAAGATGTGGAGGCTCAAACAAGCAGAAACCTTGTTCTGAGACCGAGCCCAGCGTGTCTGATCCGGGGGCACAGCCTCTCCACGCAGCCTCTGATCGCCCGGGCAAGTGCAGACCTCACGCTGACTGGGACAGGGAACAAGCGGGGCTCCCTTTAGCCTTCAGGCCACGCGCACACGGCCACTGGGAACTACTGCCCAGACCAAGACGGTGAGCAGCAAGTCCCCCACCCACCTCCCAAATGCCCACAGCTCGCCTGCAACTGCTAGCCAGGTAGCCCTGCATCCCCACCACCACATGGAAACTTCACAACGGCCAACAGACCTGTAGACGCCCAATGATAGCGTGGTGTGTTCTGCACATGTTGGCCAGAGAGGAGCTTTCCACCTGGATCTCCACAGCCTGGATGGGCCCTGCTGGGCACAGGTCGGTCACGGCCACCTGCAACACACAAGGGACCTCGCTGGAGTGGGGCAGCTCAGCCCTCGGGGTGCCCCGAGCTGGCAGGGGTGTGCGAGGCCCAGGGGACCCGAATCCCTGGCCTGGGCTGCCCTGTCCTAGCGTGGGCCAAGCTCAGCAGGCTCCTGGGCCTGTCTCTCCGCATCCAACATGAGTTCCCGCTCGAAGAACTAGCTAGTCAAGCAACAGCAAGTCTGCTCAACTGGAAGCGTGTGTCCAGGAAGCACCGCGTTCCCTGAGGACGCAGATCTGTGGCGCCCACTCTGGAAAGGACTGCTGTGGGTGTACCGCCACGGACAGCCCATGGCTGGAACCCACACTCACGGGCCACACTGGGCAGCTCGGGTCCCCTGACAGCAGGGTCAGGGTTCCAGGTGTGAAAACAGGGTGTGGGCTGGACAGCCGAGGTCAGCCTGGCGCTCTCCAGGCAAACGTAAGAGCTGGGAAAGATGGGTGAGTGCCAGACACTAGGCAAGATCCTGGAGGCCTCGGGAAGGCCTGGTGGTTCTTCCTTCTGGAATCGCAGGATGTGCTGGGACACCCACCCCTGTCCACCACCTGCAGAGCCACCACCAGGCCCCAGAACCAGGGCCCAGGACACTCCAACCTGGACAGTGCCTAGTCCCGGCCTGACCTGAAAGGCCCGTCTTGTGGGCAGCCTCCACCCACCACCCTTGGTGACATGAGTCCTGGCTGCCCAGGCTGTTCTGCCAGAGCCTCCATGCTGCAGCACGAAGGACAGCTGGATAAGACCCCTGGCCGTCGAGGGTGTCGGGAAGGCAGGTGTGCGTGGGGGCAGGGCTGGAGGACCAAGCCCCATCTTGGTGTCTCAGCAGCCCCCACGTAAGCAGCTTCAGCGACAGGGCCCGGCTCCCTGGTGCTCTAGGGGTCTAGCGGTGCTCACGCTGCTCCCGGAGCACAAACGACGAGCCACCCTGGGCTAGGACCACACGTGGAGAGCGCTGGACTGGGCTGGTCCTCATGGGACTCAGTTGGGAGGGTGACACTGCCTCCAGCCCCACAAGGCCGCACCATCACAGCCTGCCTCAGACTTGGCCGCGTCGGGTCCTCTGGGGGGTGGGCACAGGTCTGACTCCTCTCAGGCGCCCGGGGACCCACTCAGAACCGCTGCCGTTGAGGCCAGTCTCCCCAGGGGCAGGGGGGCTGGCCCCTGCTTGCCTCGCGGACGATGAGGTGGACTTCAGTGCCATCTGGGGCCACTCCCTGGACAGAGGACAGTGCTTGGGCCCTCACGATGTCCCCGACGGCATTCTCAGCGAGGAGCCACTGCAGGGTGGCACAGCCCAGGGACATGCCTGGAGGGGAGAGGTGTGGCTGTGAGGCTGGGCAGATCTGTGAGTGGGAGGGCGGGCTCTGAGGCCAGAGCGAAGCCAGTCAGTGCCACCAACCTGCATGCCCATCCCCAAAAGCAGCCCTGAGCAACTCTGTCGACACTTTGATGGTGGCCACGGATGGGGGCAGGTACTTGGCCCGCAGGGACGAAGGTCCTGCCAGCTGCCCGCCTGGCCCACGGCAAGTTCCCAGGAAGGTGTGGATGGGGTCCCCAGCGGGGCTGAGCGGGCCCAGGGCCTGCATGGGGGGCACAGCCAGGCTGGGGAAGCGCAGGCTCTGCAGCATGTCCACCGTGCGCTCGCTCAGGGGCAGGCAGACGCCATCCTGCTCAGGCAGGACGTCGGGGGGGCACTCATCCGACCAGGCGTCCTGGGCAGGGTCTGTGGGGGCAAGGGCCCCGCCCACGACCTCCCTGAGGCGGTAGAAGAGCGCGCAGGACACGGTCACAGGCAGGTCGAGCGCACCGTCCTCGCCGGGGCCCAGGGGCAGCGTCACCTCCCGCCGACCGCCAGGGCCGAGCTGGTCCACGGGGATGGTGTAGGTGACGGCCGAGCCGGCTGAGCCCAGGTCTAAGGCCCTGGAGCTGCTGAGCACCTGGACGCACAGGGCCCAGCCCCGGTCCAGGCTGAAGCTGCTGCTGTTCTCCAGCAGGCAGGTGGCCGTCAGCACGTCTTGCAGCTGCAGGCAGCTCCAGGCAGTGGTGATGGCGCAGGAGATGGGCCTGGGGCCTTCCCGGCTGGACAGCAGGGCACAGCTCACGTTCATGGCTTCATTGAGGCACGTCAGGGCCTTGTTCCGCTGGTCTACTGCCTTCTTCAGAGAGGACACTCTGGAGGGAGATGTGGCCACTGGTGGGGGACGACGAGCCCTCATCCTGGGTGCCACCCCTCCACTCCCAACGCCGGAAGGGACCAGGCCTTGCTACTCCTGGACACCAGCAAGGAGCCCCACCTCAGGGACCTCTCACCCTGCCCTGCAACCGTCTGACCCCACCCTCCTCTCCAGCAACCAAGAAACGAGGCAGAGGATGTACCTGGGGCAGCTTGCACTTGGCAGCCTGGCCCAGACCACCGGGCTGACAAAGCTACATCCCATCAGGGCTGCATGGGCCAGGTGGTGTCCATTGTGGGGCTGGCTGCCCCCGCCGTGCCCCTGACATTTCCAAGTCAGTCCCTTATGCGGTGCCACTGTGACAGCCCAGAGGGCGGCAGGCAGCCTGGAACTGGCTCTAAACCCCAAGGGTTCGGCACCTACAACTGGCCTTCAGTGCCGCCTTTGACCTGGCAGCATGGCACTTGGGGCCACCACTGGGGCCAGAGGCAAAGGATCAGGCCCGGCCCGGCCCAGCACCACCACTCAGGACGCCTCCTCCAGTGGACGCCACGCCAGCCTCTGTCCGAGCCGCAGCCAGCTGCTCACCTCTCAGACACGGTGCCAATGCCAGACAGCAACTCCTTAATTTTCTGGCCAGTGTTCGCCGAGGTCACGCTGGTGGGGCAAGGCGTCTCACGGTGCAGGTCCAGGCTGCAGGTCATCAGCCGGCCTTTGGCCGACAGGGCCAGGAGCTCAGCGCCACCTGCAGTGGACACGTGGGGCCGGGTCAACAGGCAGGGAGGGCCCACTGCTGGGAACGTGCAGCAGTTCCCGGGACTCCTGATGAGCGCTGGCAGAACAACAGTGCCAGGTGAGGAGAGCGCGGGCCGTGCCCTGGGCCGGGCAGAGCCGTGTTCACTGCCGTGTTCATCCAGTGCACACGTCGGAAAGGGCTGTCCCCGGGAGGCGGTGTCAGCAAGGCAGAGGCGGCTCCTTGTACGTGGACGAGACTAAACGGGGCGACCACATCAGCCGGGGGTGCCCCCCTCTAATAGGCCCTCCAGAGCACAGCTGCTCCGAGATTTCCTAAGAGAGGCAGGCGCCACGCAGGCCCTGGCCTCCTCCACGGTCTGGCCGGCTCTCCCTGGGGCTTTTCTGGAAGCTACCAGTTCTGCCCCCTTTTCTGCTCCTGGGCTACCAGGAAGCTCCCCGGGAAACCGGCTCCACCTCCTGCCACCTGCTGGTTCCCATGTCCCTGAGCCAGGCCAGAGGAGGGGCCCTCTCCCTGCAGTAGAGACAACAGCCTTTCCCCTTCAAGTCTGGTCCACAGCAAGACCTACGATGCGCTCGTGGGCCGTCTTAACGGGAATATCCCCTGGTGGGGGGCATCTATCTACCCCCCACCCCTGGCATTGGACAAACATGGGTGAAACCCTCTCCGGCCTTGTCCAGGGAAAACACACACACGAGAGCTTGGGGATGCCCGTCTTCAGTGCAGGGTGGGCTCACTGGAGGCCACACAGTAAATTTTATCCCTTCAAAAGAAAGGTAAAGACCTAACCTGAACCGACTTGAATTTCCCCTGGACTACCTGCCGTGGGAGGCCCATCATGGAGACACACTTGCCCTGGGCCGCCCAGGTGCAGACCCCACCCAGGCAGGCAGCGCCCTAACCCCCACAACCCACGCGGGACACGCAGGACACACAGGATCCCATGACAAGGAGCTGTGTCAAGTGAGGGTAGGCCTGCCGGGCAGGGTTATGGAGGACATGGGTGAGGCAGAGAAAGGACACCAGAGCAGAGGGTCCACCCACCCTGGGGCTGTGGTTTTCAGGTTAAAGCTGAGGCTCGTACCTTCAGGTGTCCTGGATGACACAGAGAGGGTGACGACGCTGCAGATGCTCAAGCTGGTGGGACACAACAGAGAGGGCAGGCCTCCTAGGGCCCCATCGGGCTGTGCGGGGTCCCAGGGGGAGCCTCCCCGGGCCAGGTCCACCACACAGAGGTCTGAGGGGCTGCTGAGGTACAGACGGCTGTGCCCACCACAGGCTGCACAGAGCACGGGCCCCGGGAGGCGGTACTCCCGCAGCTCTGGCGCCAGATGCCCCGCCTCATTCCAGCTGGCCTTGATGGCTAGCGTCCGGCCGTGGTGACCGAGCACCACCAGGCAGTCGGAATGCTCGTCCTCCACATCCTCGGCCAGCGGCTCCGTTCTCAAGGCCCCGATGAAGACAACAGGCTCCTCCAGGTGGTGGAGGATCTTGACAAGGGCCTTGGGGTCGCCCGGGGCCGACCTGGAGGTGACCAGGGTCCGCAGGACCACACAGCAGAGCTGGCCATCAGGGAGACCGCAGAGGATCGCGGGCGACTCTAGGAGGGCGGCACCAGCCCCAAAGAGCAGCCCAAAGAGGGCGCCCTCGAGGGCAAAGCCCCGGGAGCTGTGCGGGGCCCTGGAGCCCGGCGGTGATGCACAGCACAGTACAGGGAGGAAGCGGGGGGCTGCGGGCTCTCCTGGGCTCCCAGCAGTGGGGGTGCAGCTGGACAAGTGCACCTCGCCAATCTGGCCCCCGGGCCTGGGGTCCTCCCCGGGACAGGGCCGTTCGAACAGCTGCACCTTCCACTGGGTGGGGCCCTGTGCCAGGGTGACGAGGACGTCATCGAGGATGGTGAAGGCGCACAGCGTGGCGTCAGGCAGGACACAGGCACCTGGGTCCACGGGGATGACGGAGGAGGGAGGCGACCCGTCCTGCTCGTCCTCAGTGCCCTGGCTATCCCCGCCGTCCCCACCATCCTGGCTCACGGACCTTCAAGAATACAGGGAACCACGGTCACAGCACTAACCCTCACCAGCTCTCTTCACAACTACCTGCCGCTGAGCATGACAGGTCTGGGGTCTTCACAGGGAGTGACCTCAGTGACCCTCAGCGGTGTGGGAGAGGCTCATCAGGGAGCAGCTAGCATGCCACAGTGCCCCCCACCTGCTGCGGGGACGGCTCTGCCCCACTCGGTCATCCAGGGACACGCATGTCACAGGGCTTCCAGAAACAGGGCTCAGAAAATCCTCATCAGTGCAGGACTGCTGGACCCTGAGGCCTCAGCTGGGAACCGCACCTGCTAACTTCTTATCCTCTAAACCAGCAATGAGCAGATGTCACGTCTAGGCTCTGCGCTGGTGCTAGGGGCCGGGTCCTCTGAGCACTGACTCACGGTTCACAGACCCCCACCAAGGCTCAAGGGCTGCAGACTCAGCTGCCTGGACCCCGTTTACTGAAGATTCTCTGTAAGCAGCAGCCTGCTAGAGGACAATGGGGCAGGGGGCACGAGCACTCCAGACTCCAGAGCTGGCCCTGAGCCCACTGTCCCCACCTGCAAGGGCCAGTGAGTGCTCACTCTGAATGCAGTCCAGGGGTAACATAGGTCACAGGGGCAGGGAGTGAAGAGGCAAAGCAGGAAGCACCTGTCAGATGCAGTGAGAAGCCCGTATGAGGCCAGGTCAGCCTCAGCCACGGGGAGGCCAGTGTGGACCCTCCCAAAGCAGGCTGCCCAGCGACCACTCCTCACCTGCCCGCCTGGTCCAAGGACAAGCAATAGATGCCGCTCTGGGCGCACAAAACGTAGAGCGCCCTACGAAGGGCCAGGAGCTCCAGGTGCCACACCTGACCGGGAAACTTGTACACGGCCTGGACGTCCAGGGAGAAGGCAGCGTCAGGCCGGAGGCGGGGGGCCGGGGGAGGCGGAGGACAAACTCCCCGAACGCGCGGACCCCTCTGTGCAAACCCGGGCCCGTCCCTCTGGAGGCCCCCGCCCCGCGCTCACGGTCAGCAGCCGCCCCTCCTGGTCGTAGACGTAGACCAGCTCGCTCCCGGTGGACAGGAAGACCTCCGCCCCGTGGCACAGCACGGGG